GGAAGCACTGATTCCATGAGTCCCGGGGGGGGGGATAAAACAGCAGTCCCAAATGCCCCCCCGCCCCACCTCCTGATTCATCTGCAGGCATCGCCTACACCTTTCAGACTTTCAGGTTTATCGTTGTCCTGGCCGGGCCCCCTTTTACAATCACCTCCTTTCCTCCCACTGAGTTCTCGGCTGTCTCCGCAGTGCAACGGGGCCTGCGCAAACCACAGCTGGGGAGAGAGGGGGGGGGAAGGGGCGTGTGCCGAGAGAGCTTGCGGAGCCCGCTGCTGCCCTGGGTACGGTGTCCATGGCAACCAAGCCAGGGAACCCCCTCCAAGAACTTCAGCTGGGAGACAGATCTGACGGGGGACTGCACGCCAGACACGTGTGCGCCTGTGAGTGCAGAGGAAGAGCGCATAGCAGTTGGAAAGACCCAGCCCAAATCCACGGCAGGCAAGGGCGGGAGGGAGCGCGAACAGCAATGAAAACGGGGTCAGACGCAATCCACAATTTAAAAAAATAATAATGCAGGGGCATGCACTGAGATCTCTGATGGATCCAGACGTAGGTCTGGCACCTTGAAGACCGACGAAGGCTTATTCAAGGCATGAGCTTTTGTGTGCAAGCAGGCTTTGCTCAAATACGTAGACAGGGCTATTTTTGGGCAGGAACGCGCAGGAACGGAGTTCCGGCTAGCTTCAGAGTTGGCCACGCCCACTACAGCCAAAACCTCTGCATGCACGGAGGGAAGGCCTGGAGAGTGACCCCCCCCCCCGACTCCGAGGCAGATGGGCCAGGGGGGGCCCTGGAAGGATGGGGAGGCATTTAAATGTCTCCCCGTGCCTTCCCTGGCCTGTCCAAAGGCCGGCTTGCCCAGGCTCCCTGCAGCCATGGGTGCCTGGGCAAGCCAAGGGAAGGCATGGGGTGTGGCCTAATATGCTAATGAGTTTTTGCTGCTGGGTGTGGCCTATTATGCTAATGAGTTCCTGCTGGGCTTTTTCTACCAAAAAAGCCCTGTAGGTAGAGATATCAGCAGATGTCAGCAGAGACAAAATAAAATTACATCAAATGACATTGCGGTCTTTAAGGAGAGAATGACTTGCAGGGATAATAGGGGGGGCAGATGGAGGCGCTCCTTAAAAAAAGGAAGCCAGGAGATCAAAGTCTGGGGCTCCTGTCACAGCACGTGAAGAAGAAGAGAAGGGATTGGATTTATACCCCGTCCTTCACTGCCCGAGGGAGTCTCAGAGCGGCTTACAAACTCCTTTCCCTTCCCCTCCCCACAACAGACACCCTGTGAGGTAGGAGGGGCTGAGAGACAGCTGAGGGAAACTGCTCTTTCTCAGGAACAGCTCTTGTCAGAACTATGGCTTGCCCAAGGTCATCCAGCAGCTGCAAATCGATATCAACCAGGAATCAAACCCGGTTCTCCCACATCAGGGTCCGCGCACTTAACCACTACACCAAAGAGCTGCTTCAGGCTCCGTGCTCCCCTTTTCCAATCCCTGCCTCCTCTCGAAATCCCGTAAAGGAAAGCAGAACGGCGTGAAGACATTTCAAAAGACAAGAGGGCCCGGCCACGTTACTCCAAGACCGGGCTGGCAAAAGGGGGTTGCCTTCTCTTTCGTCTGCCTGATGGCAGGTTAAGGGCAAGATCGGAGGCCCGTGCTGGCGTATTTTTGGGAAGGGAAGGGAGCCGTCTGTCCTTGGCATAGATGCCTGCTTAGCTCTAGCACCAGAGGGAGGATCCCTGCCTGAACCGTCAAGGCCCTTCGGTTACTACAGAGACAGCAGAAGAGTCAGGAAGACAAAGCAACTACGGAAGACAAGAGGCGGGCTTTCGGGTTGGAGGATTGCAACCGTCAGTTCTACAACAGCAGCGAAGGGAGACACCTGGCCCCGGCCCTTTGGGAAACAGAGCGGTGGGCTTGAAGAACGGATTCGGCACATCAAATTTGCATGTGTTTTGCATAACGGAGGCGGCTTCTGTTGATCCCCCCCCCCCAATGTGCTACGTATGAAGTCTGTGAATAGTAAGAAGTTACTGTCGGTTAAAGGCTGATACAGATATGCACACTCAATAGCCATGGTCAGAAAGAGCTAGTGAACCTGCATTCCTTGGATGTGCGCGCATAAAGTTTAAGAAGACCCTCCTACAACCTAATTCGTTTGCCACACAGGATCTTTGGGATGCCTTATAATCAACCTAAGGCTCAGAGGTTAAGACGCTGAACTGCAGGTCGTAAGGTCGGCAGTTCGAGACCCGAGTGCCGCATGACGGAGTGAGCTCCCGTCTCTGGCCCCAGCTCCTGCCAACCTAGCAGTCCGAAAGCAAGAAAGTGCAAGTAGGTAAACAGGTACTGCTTTGGTGGGAAGGTAACAGCGTTCTGTGCGCCTTGGCATTCAGTCATGCAGGCCACATGACCACGGAAGTCTTCAGACAGCGCTGGCTCTTCGGCTTCGAAACTGAGATGAGCACCGCCCCCTAGTCGGATCCGACTGGCTTTCAAGCAAGGGAAACCTTTACCTTTTTATAAACAACCACATTTTTTAATGTCATAGTGTGCACAGACAAAAATTCAACCACTGAGGAAGGCCTTGGAGGCTGAAATGTGTTTGGTCTGCTTTTAATGTGGTTCAAGGTTATCAACCTAGATATATTGAATGATTGGTCCTGTTTTACTGGTTCGAGGCTTTTAACCTGGAAATATTGAAGGGTGTCAGGTTGTACAGATTCAGAACTCTTGAGTTCAAACATTCGCCACTTTTAAGGGTGGAAGGTGCCCATTTTTTTAAAGCATAGTTTTAGTGCACTTTGTAATAAATACATATATTTTGTTTAATGTATTTCTCAAAAAAAAAACCCCAATCTCTCTCACCCAACCTTTGGGTACTCAACTCTGCTGCTTCTGCTGGCCAAAAAGTACACTGCAATAACAAAAACACACTGTGGAAAACACAAATTACTTAAAGACAGATTACACTCAAGTACAGCTTAAAGGCATATGTCTCCAATAAAATTTATAGGAATATAATGCATGGAGATTGAAGTATAAATCATATAGTATGACCCACATACACTAATAACGACTGTCAGAGCACAATGGCTTCAAGACAAACTACACACACGTCTGTAAAACAAGAAGCACTGTAAAATAAGAAGCATTAAAAAAATAACAGCCGTATTCAAGGACTGTACATAGCTGCCGTATTGGTCTTGCCCTGGGGAGGTGTTCTTGTGTATAAATATATGTTTGTGTAATGTGTGCCTTTAAGCAGTACTTGAGTGTAATCTGTCCTTAAGTAATTTGTGTTTTCTGCGGTGTATTTTTATTGCACTTAGTATCTCCGTGGTCCCGCTGTATTCAGTGGCCATCAAGTACAGAGCAATGGCTGGAAATCGTATCTCCCCGGGGCCGGTGAGATTTAGACATCTATATCCACAGTACTTCCAATTCATGCAGGATCAGGGACCAGATTCTTTTATTTTAGTAAAAACAAATTATTCAATACAGAAACCAGGATCCTGAAGTTCTCATGATTCGCAGCCCTGAATATCCCACATTTCTGATAACCTCCTGGATGCACATTTCTCCCCACCTCCGAATTAGGGGCACTACTGAATTTTACCGAGAAATATGAGCTAGAGCACAAAGAACAGTTGGGTGTGTCAGGAGGGACCGGACAACCCAATCCCACCCCGTGCAGATGCCCGACAATCACCCAGCAGGGTATCACGCAGAGAGGCAGTGGGCAGCCCCCTCTGTGAGTGTATACTCAGTACTCATAGAGATCTTTTGTTTCTTGTGGTGCAGCGTTCCATCTCTGCTACACAAGCTGGGAATTACCAGTCTGGCCTTTAAGCAGTCAAAGGTCCTGAGGGTAATGGAATTACGGCACAGAACAGGAAGGGGGCCGGAGCGGGTACAGGCCCAGATGAAACGACCCCTGCGAAGATGGGGTTTTTTTCCTTGTTTTACCCGGATCTGATCTTATGGAGGACAACTAGTTTTCTCCCAGGGAATGCGGCTGGGAGCTACTTTTCTCAGGGCTACTAAGGGCCTGGGGTTTGGCCCTAACCCGATTCAAGGAACCCCGAACTCCTCCCGTATGAACGGGGCAGGGAAAACTGCCTCGGGGAATGGAGAAATTAAGGCAATCTTGGAACGGAAGCCAAGGGGTGTGAAACGACAGGACGTCACGGAAGGGCAAGGTGAAACAAAAGCGGTTCTCGGCGTGAACTTGGATGACAGAATGGGAAAAGAAAGCCAATGGGATAGGCAAGTGGAGAAAAAGATGCCCCGGCATCTGAAGATGCCCAGGCCCCCTGTTCAGTTTTCAAATCCCTCTTCCTGGGGATTCCAGTGTACCTCTCTCTTCCCACTGGCCAGCAGTTCTCTTGGGGAACCCCCAGCCCCCAAACCCTTCCACAGGAAGACTTCCAGCTGTGACCACGTGGCAGGGGGTTTCCATGGGACTGTCCCTCCTGGCTGGAGACGTGGGGGGGGCATCCTCTCCCCTCCAAGCACCGTATTAAATAACAGGGACACGAGTTCCAATCTCTTGACTCTGACCCTCGGATGCCGGGATGAGAGGCACAAAAGAGGCTACTCGGCTGCGACTGGCTGCCGCTTCTGCCGCCGACGCATTTTCTTATTCAGCTTCCGCCGCAGCTGCTGCTGTTTCTTCTCCCGCAACGTCTGCTGCACCCTGCTGCGGAACTCGCCGTTCTTCTTCCTGATCTTGGCTAGCTCGGCCTTCCGCTGCTCCTCCAAGTCTGGATCCTGCGCCGGGGGAAAGGGGGAACAAGGCAACGCTTGTCAACTGGACACAAGACGCCTGCCTTGCCTTTGGAGTCAGCTCCGCTTCTTGCAAACAGGCCTCCTTTGCCCTCTCCCAGGCCAGTCTAATCCCCCCCCCCCCGAGCAATCTCTCCCCTACATGGAGAGACTGAGGGTCAGGCAGGCCCACAGCCAGGATTTTGTGGCTTGTGGGGCTAATTTTTTTTTCCTGGTGGGGCTGACGTTCTCAGTGCAGAAAGAAAAGCCATTCAGCCAACAGAAAGCTGCTACCGGGATAGATCTCTAAATTGCAAGCTGTCGACCACTCTAGATGACAGTTCTCAGCTGCTGCAAGTTAATCACTTCTGCCAGCCTAAGTGACAATTCTGAGAACAAGCTGGCAAGTAGGTGGGAGGACTTCTATAGTCAAGAAAGCTGACACTTAAGGCAGAAAAACTCTCTTAAAGGAGACCAGTTTCTTGACACAGAATTAGGAAGGAATCCTAGAGGTCACCTACTCCAACCCACTTGCTCAGTGCGGGAATCAGTCAACTACAGCACCCCACTCTGCTTAAAAGAATGTTTTAAAATGACTGAAAAAAGCATTTACAGGAGAAATTCTTGTGGGTTGATGATTTTAAGAAAGCGGGCAAAGCCCCCCAAAGCCCCACCATAGCTTCGGGCCTGGGATTCAGGTACTGCAGGAGAAACAAAACCATGACTCACACAAATTTTCGGCCCCAGCAGCAAGGGGCCCTGGTTTGCAGACCAAGTGCAGATTTAACACCCACCTGAAACCATGCTTTGGCAAGGGAAAGGAGCTGGAAAACTGCTCAGAAAGAGGCAGCAGCCATTTCTCGAACCCAGCTCCCAGCCTGCAGGCAGCCTGCATCCAAACAGAGTGTTCCCACCCTGCACAACCCACTTTCCTGCGCTCAGAGACTTCCCTTCTCCCCACCTTACCTTTCCTTCTAGGATCATCTGCTTCCGCTTGTTGATTTCCTTCTTCTCGTCAAAATCGGTTGCCTCTAATCTCTAGGAGAGAGAAAGCAAAAGAGGTTTGGAAAAGTTGCTTCCCTTCTGCCCTCCCCCCCCCTCTCATTCTATTTTGCTGCTTACGGACAAACATACAAAAGCAACCTTGAAGAATGTGAACAAAATCTGTTTTTTTCGCAAGAATATTTATAGGGATATAAGATAAGTGATCATGCAAAGTGCAAATAAAGCACAAAGCACGTAATTACATTAAAAGACATACAATTACCAGTGGAACATGAAGCCAGCTGAAATACCACCTTGAAGAGACGGAACTTATAAGCAATCTTCTTCATGCTGTAAGGACAGAAAGAACCATTCTGCTTAACAGCCAAAGAGAAGTTCCTCGGAGCATGAAGAGGTCAAGGTTAGCACTACTCGACAGGCCCATTTCAAATAAGTATCTTTATCAAGCTGTTAGTCTTGTGGGACTTGCACTAGTTTCCAAGAATTCAAAAGCACGTGGCAGCCAGCGCCCCTAAGGACAAGCTTGAGATAGAGACTAACAGCTTGATAAAGATATCGATTCGAAACAGGCCTGTTGTGTAGTGGTAACCTGGACATCTTCATGCTCCGAGGGACTTACCTTTGGCTGTTAAAGAGAAGGGTTCTTTCCGTTCTTACTGCATGAAGAAGATTGTTCATAGGTTCGGCCCCCTTAAGATGGTATTTCAGACGAGATCGGGTGCGTTCATGGTGGTATAGCTTATTTATAGCTTGTTGGCACTCAATGAAATTGCTGAGCAGTCGGGATAGAACAGATAAAAGGAAGTATTTCTTCATCCAAAGAATGATGAACACGTGGAATTCACTGCCACAGGAGGTGGCGGCAGCTACAAGCATGGACGGCTTCAAGAGGGAATTAGATAAGCATATGGCGCAGAGGTCCATCAGGGGCTCTTAGCCACAAGGTATAGATAGGAACTCTCAAGCTGGGGCAAGTGATGCTCTGTATTCTTGGTGCTTGGGGTGTGTGTGTCAAACGTGGGGGGGCTTCTAGTGTCCTGGCCCCACTACTGGACCTCCTGAGGGCACCTGGTATTTTTGGCCAGTGTGTGACAGAGTGTTGGACTGGATGGGCCATTGGCTTCCCGTATGTTTTTCTGTTTATGCCACTATGTTTTTGCAAAAAACAGGTTCTGCTTACATTCTTCAAGGTTGCTTTCGTACGTTGGGTCAGTCCTGTTGTTGGCAGCCTTCTTGCTTGTTTGCTTATGGACAAACAGCCAGATCCATGGGCATAGCCCCTGACTTGGAGGTGGAGGGTTTCCCGGCACAAATCCCTGTTCGGTCAACGAAGGTCACAGCTGGGCCCCTCCCAGCTCTGGTGCAACACCCCCCAGCCCCTCACTTTCAATCTCGCACTCCCGCCGCACCACGTTCACTTGGGTGAGGATGTTCAGCACGGACCGCTCTTGGACCGATCTTCCACGGAGAACTCCTGGAGCTTCATTTCTGGAGTATGACACATACAAAGTCCTTAAAATGTTCACCCCCCTCAAGCCAAATTTCTTCTGTAGCCTGAACATATTAAGAAGAAGAAGAAGGGAAGAGATTGGATTTATACCCTGCCCTTCAGTACCCAAGGGAGTCTCAGAGCAGCTTACAAACTCCTTTCCCTTCCCCTCCCCACAATAGACACCCTGTGAGATGTTGAAGGAGAGACGGAGCCCCGGTCTGACTCTGGATAAAGCAGGCTTTTAAAGAGCCAGTTTGGTGTAGTGGTTAAGTGCGCAGACTCTAATCTGGGAGAACCGGGTTTGATTCCCCACTCCTCCACTTGCACCTGGCTGGATGGCCTTGGGCAAGCCGTAGTTCTGACAAGAGCTGTCCTTGAAAAAGAGCAGTTTCTGCCAAGAGCTCTCTCAGCCCCACCTACCTTCCAGGATGTCTGTTGTGGGGAGGGGAAGGGAAAGGAGTTTGTAAGCCACTCTGAGACTCCTTTGGGTAGTGAAGGGCAGGGTATAAATCCAATCTCTTCTTCTCTTCTGCTTGGGGGGGCTCCTCGGCCACAGCCCCTGGGCACAGAGCAGCCAGGAGCACCTGGGCTTCTTGGATTCCCCCCAAGGAACCGGGTGGGACCGAACCGGCGCCTTTCAGATTCCCCGCCAGCTCCCCTGCCCATCTTTTCCTACTTACTGATCTGCTCCTCGATCGCGTGGACCAGGTGGATGTCGTACTGGGTCACCAGGGTGATGGCGATGCCGTGCCGACCTGGTGGGGAGAGAGGAAGGGACGTGAAGGGGGTGGAGGGCAATCTGTGCCTCCCTCGTTCCCACGACACTCGGGGTCACCCAAAGAAAGGGAAGCAGACCCTAAGGCAGAGGAAGCGCTTCACGCGAGGCTAGCTTGACTTGCGGAACTCGCTGCCACCGGATGTGGATCTGGATCCCTTTAAATCTCCTATTGCTCGATTGTACTGATACTCCTAATACCCGCAGACATTAAAAGAGCCTAAACGTCTTAAGAACATAAGAACAGCCAATGTTGGATCAGGCCAATGGCTCATCTAGTTCAACACTCTGTGTCACACAGTGGCCAAAAATACTAGGTGCCATCAGGAGGTCCACCAGTGGGGCCGGGACACTAGAAGCCCTCCCCCTGTTGACCCCCCCCCCCCAAAGCACCAAGAAGACAGAGCATCACTGCCCCAGACATAAGAACGTAAGAGAAGCCATTGTTGGATCAGGCCAGTGGCCTATCTAGTCCAACACTCTGTGTCACCCAGTGGCCAAAAATACCAGGGGCCATCAGGAGGTCCACCAGTGGGGCCGGGACACTAGAAGCCCTCCCCCTGTTGACCCCCCCCCCCCAAAGCACCAAGAAGACAGAGCATCACTGCCCCAGACATAAGAACGTAAGAGAAGCCATTGTTGGATCAGGCCAGTGGCCTATCTAGTCCAACACTCTGTGTCACCCAGTGGCCAAAAATACCAGGGGCCATCAGGAGGTCCACCAGTGGGGCCGGGACACTAGAAGCCCTCCCCCTGTTGACCCCCCCCCCCCAAAGCACCAAGAAGACAGAGCATCCCTTGCCCCAGCCTGAGAGTTCCTATCTATACACCTTGTGGCTAATAGCCACTGATGGACTTCTGATCCAGATGTTTATCCAATTCCCTCTTGAAGCCGTCCATGCTTGTAGCCGCCACCACCTCCTGTGGCAGTGAATTCCATGTGTCGATCACTCTTTGGGTAAAGAAGTACTTCCTTTCAGCCAGATGCTTCTAGCCTTGGAGGCTCACAGGACATGGGCAGTTTCTATCCGGCGCTTTCAGCCGGCTCAGAATGTGGGAGGGAGGGTCCGTCGCTATGAGTGCAGGAACACCAGTTTTGACCCAACTTCCACAGCTCTCGGTTCGTTTCTGGGCCCAGTTTGGAGTGCTGAAGCTGACTGCTGCGGCCTTATGGGTCTTGGGGCACGGGAAGCCAAAGGCTGGCCTTCTCCAATGTGAACATCCCCCTGGTTCTTCATGTGGCTGGAGAACCCCCTGCTTCGTGTTCTAGAGTTTTAAGAGATCTGGTGGACAGCCACAAGTGGAAGGGTCTTCTTGGTGGTGGCACTGTAGATCCAGAATCCCATCCCAAAGGGACATGCTCTGCAGGAGGTTGTCCTGTCTAAAGCCCCCCTGAGGTTGGCCCCGTCTGCTCTGACAGAACAGTCACCCCGTGAAAGCAACTTCAACCCAGCTACTCCCAACAGAGCAGTCAAAACCACCCCCCCCCCCCCCCCAACACCCCCCCCCCCCTCTTACCTGCCCGGGCAGTCCGGCCTACCCGATGGATGTAGATTTTAGGGAGCCCCGGAGTGTTGTGGTTGATGACCACTTGGACCGTAGGGATGTCAAGTCCTCTAAAACCAGAGAAAGAAGGGAGGGAGGGAGGGAGGGAGGGAAGAAGAGGAGGAGGAGGAGATTGGATTTATACCCCACCCTTCACTACCGAAAGGTGTCTCAGAGCGGCTTACAAACTCCTTTCCCTTCCCCTCCCCACAACAGACATCCTGGAAGGTAGGTGGGGCTGAGAGAGCTCTTGGCAGAAACTGCTCTTTTTCAAGGACAGCTCTTGTCAGAACTACGGCTTGCCCAAGGCCATCCAGCCAGGTGCAAGTGGAGGAGTGGGGAGGTAGGTGGGGCTGAGAGAGCTCTGACAGAAATTGCTCTTTTTTTTCTCATTAACATTTTATTGGTAGGATTAAAACAATAAAACAAATATAACAATAAAAATATACATAAAGGTCATAAGAACAGTTATACATTCAAACCAACACACTAATTACAAAAAAGTAAGCTTTAAAGAATGATACATTCTTCAATAAATCTTTGAACAAAGTAACTTATTTTAGCCTCAATTTGTAATTGATGCCTGTACTGTTTGTTGCTTTAGATACAACCAAGTGTCTTCTGCCCTCAAGAATATCTGTAGACATTCAATGATATATCTAACCGTATTAAACACAAAGTACTTGTTGTAAATAGTCAATAATTGTTTAATACTCAGACTATTTGATGGATCTTGCTCTATTGGAAAGAAGAGATTTCTTTGCCTTTTAAAAAATACTTTATTCTAAGGGAAAAGGTACATAGGATTGCTACAAATTAACAAAACACTAAGAGCTACATTTCTAAGCTTCCTACAGACAAGACAAGCACACATGTAATGGATAATTCTCTCCTTCTTCTTGACCCCTAGAAAGGAAGTCACCTGAAACAAATGACCAATCTGCATCAAAGTAGAAGTTACTTTTCCCGGGCTAATCCCCCATTGGTTTGTCGAGAGAAGCAGCGTGTGAGACTAGCTCCACACCAATTCTGACCTTTTGTTGTGTTAAAGGTACTTTTTCCACCACCATAAGACTTCCTTGTAGAGGAAATCTTGGCAAGGGGTGCGGGCATCGGCCTGGAGAGGGTGGCGACCCTTCCCAGTGTTTTCCGAGCCAACCCCGAAGCGCACAACATCAGGAGCCCCGACAGAGAACGTCGAGCTACAGACAAGCCAACAAGGACCAAAGAAGGAGTTCCACCAAATTGCCAAGTGAACCCGAAGCTAAGTATACTCCTAGTTTTTTCCCTTTTATGAATAAAATAAAAGGAAATAAGGGTAAAGTTTGAAAGTGAAACCCAGTGGTAGGGAAAACGCTCCGGTGTAGGAAAACAGAAAGGGGGGGGAACAAAGTGCCCCATTTGCAAGCCAACCTGGTTCTCTCGGATTAGAGTCCGCACACTTAACCACTGCACCAAACTGGCACTTAACTGACTACACCAAACTACACCAGACTGGGAGGGAGGGAGGCTGTTGACATCACTCTTTCTCCTCCAAAGGCAAGCAGGACTTGGGGAAAGACCGGGATTCCCTCAACCTTTCTTTACAGAAGCTCTACCGTTCTGGAATGGGAGACCACGGGGACCCAAGCTCAAGGGCCTGTTTCCAAACCCCAGTGCACCACTGCCTACCTGGCGGCCACGTCGGTCGCTATGAGGATCTTGTAGACGCTGGATTTGAACTTGGCCAGAGCAGCGAAACGTTGTTTCTGCCAAAAGACAGACCAAGGGAAAGGGATTATGAGTGTAGAAGAAGAAGAAGAGAAGAGATTGGATTTATACCCTGCCCTTCACTACCCAAGGGAGTCTCAGAGTGGCTTACAAACTCCTTTCCTTTCCCCTCCCCACAACAGACACCCTGTGAGGTAGGTGGGGTTGAGAGAGAAGAAGAAGAAGAGATTGGATGTATACCCCGCCCTTCACTACCCAAGGGAGTCTCAGAGAGGCTTACAAACTCCTTTCCCTTCCCCTCCCCACAACAGACACCCTGTGAGGTCGGTGGGGCTGAGAGAGCTCTGACAGAAACTGCTCTTTTCCAAGGACAGCTGTGCCAGAACTATGGCTTGCCCAAGGTCATCCAGCCAGGTGCGAGTGGAGGAGTGGGGAATCAAACCCGGTTCTCCCAGATGAGAGTCCGCGCACTTAACCACTACACCAAACTGTACCGTTTTGCACAGGAGCAATTTGCTGTGTGTGTTTTTCCCGGCAGGGTTAACAATTGCCTGAACGACGCAGGGCGTGGCTGGCATCAACAGTGGCTAAAGAAGCGCTGCCGGGGCCTGGATCCGGTTCAGGGGCCCACCAATCACCCCCGGGGCTTCCTCCCCTGCCAAAGACCACAGGTGGGCGGCGCCCTTCTATCCACAGCCAGCCTCTCTGGTGCCATCTACAGGCGCAGGTTCCGTAAATATAGGTCATTTGATTAAATGAGAAAGGGCTGCCTGGAAGTAACAGCCATTTCCTCCGACTTCGGACCATGGCTAAGGTGCCGTTCATGTTCCAGCGCCACCTTTGCCCCACCATGTCACAGGGCAGCACAGAACTGTTCGGGCCCACAAAAGGAGGAAAGAGTGAATTCACACGACCCACGTGGCTAGGGGGAGCGCATGAGGTTGGTGATCTTGGGTGCAGCCACGGTGCCAGACCAAGATGTGAATGGGTCCCTGTGGCGTAAAAGGGACGACAGGGAAACAGTCCTTCCTTCCGCATTCCAGGAGAGGAGACCGACATTCCCTCTGCTCCCAGTCCCGGACCTGGTCTGCTTACCTGCTTCATCATCGAATGCAGAGCCACCGAGGGGAAGTTGAATTTCCTCAGCATCATGTTCAAGACCTGGCAGTTCCTTCAAGAGCAAAAGTATCTTCGTTACTCTTGGGGGGGTTGGGGGTGGCGGCTTACACTGGGGCTGTCAAAATTAAGGCCCGGGGGCCGGAACTGGCCCACCCAGGGTTCTTACCCAGCCCACAAAAAGAAGAAAAGAAGAGATTGGATTTATACCCCGCCCTTCACTACCCAAAGGAGTCTCAGAGCGCTTACAAACTCTCTTCCCTTCCCCTCCCCACAACAGACACCCTGTGAGGCAGGTGGGGCTGAGAGCGCTCTGGCAGAAACGGCTCTTTTTCAAGAACAGCTGTGCCAGAATCATGGGTTGCCCAAGGTCACCCAGCTGGCTGCATGTCTTAGCTCAGGAAGGATGGCTCCAGAGCAAACTGATTTATGCAGAAGCCAAAATCGCTTGCTCACAATTGTAATGGCAGTAGATGACAAAGTAGAATTTTTGCTCACCGGACTCCACAGCTTGGAGGGACCACTGGCCACCGGACAATCTTTCGATCTCCTGGCTACACTACACCCACTGCCAGAAGGTAACTATTAAGTAACCTGACTTCCCTTCTCTGCAACACCCTGCCCACCTTCTCACTGGGACATTATGACCATTATTGATTTAATGTCTAGCCTGCTCTCCTGAAGACCGGCTCAGAGCAGGTAACATCATCAGTTTATAAATATAAAATTAAAATTTCCAAATGCCAAATAGTTCAATCACCAATAAAATACATACAGATACAATACAATCAGCTATACAGAATCAAAATGGCATAAACCCCATATGAAGGGGAAATTCTACTACTGGAGAAGCGGAATGGCAACGGGAAAGAAGGGGATGGGGGGGAGGCTATCCGGGGGGGGAGAGGAAGAGGAGGAGGATTGGATTTATGCCCCACCCTTCACTGTCTCATAACCACACACTTTACAGGGCTCTTTTTGTAGCAGGAACTCCTTTGCATATTAGGCGACACGCCCCTAATGTAGCCAGTCCTCCAAGAGCTTACAGTAGCCCCTGTAAGAAGAGCTCTGTAAGCTCTTGGAGGATTGGCTATATTAGGGGTGTGTTGCCTAATATGCAAAGGAGTTCCTGCTACAAAAAGAGCCCTGCGAAAGAAAATAATATAATAAGAAGAGAAGAGATTGGATTTATACCGCGCCCTTCACTACCCAAAGGAGACTCAGAGCAGCTTACAATCTCCTTTCCCTTCCCCTCCCCACAATGGACACCCTGTGAGGGAGGCGGGGCTGAGAGAGCTCTCTCGAGAACTGCTCGTGAGAGAACAGCTCTGAGAGAACTTGTGACTGACCCAAGGTCACACCAGCAGCTGCATGTGAAGGAGTGGGGGAATCAAAGCCGGTTCTCTCAGATTAGAGTCCGCGCTCCTAACCACTACGCCAAACTGGCTTTCGAAAGTGGTGACCAACAGTTCCCAGCCTGCCCAGCTACTAAGTGGCAGGTCACAACTGTTTTCCAGGCAAATGTCTGCCCCTGCACCTCTCTCCGTTCAATGTGTAAAAGCTGGAGTTCGCACCCGGGTTGGCAAGCCACGGCCCCGACACTCACTTGCAGGTGTTGGTGAAGATGATGACGGACCAGTCTTCATGCTCATCCTGAAACGTCTGGACCAGATGGACGAGGTAGGCATCCTTGACCTTCTCGGGCACCAGCAGATAGCGCTGGTCGAGTTCTTCCACCGTCCGCACTCTAGCCGGGAAAGAGAGAGACCCGAATCAGTGTTTGGGCAGCCGCTCCAGTCGGGCCAGGGTCAGCAGCGTAAGAACAGTCGCATCAGGCAGCTTCTTCCACCCGAAATGTATTAGGAAACCAGGAGGGGGCCGGAGAGCCACCAGACGAAACATCACCTGGTATTCATCTGGTTCTGAAATGTATTTGGTTTGGCAAGGGGCAGGATATCTGCCGTCAAGCCCGTGTCTACAGTGGATCCAAAAAAACAAGGGGGAAAAAACTAGCGTCACAGGAGTCCCAAATATGCAGACTCCACTAGTAGAAAACACCATCAAAAATTGCCAAACAGTATATTAAACCATTATAAAGTTGGTGGTGTCACAACAACAATATTCGAAGAAGAGGAAGAGATTGGATTTATACCCCACCCTTCACTACCCAAGGGACCTCTGCCTGAGACCCTGGAGAGCTGCTGCCAGTCTGAGTAGACAAGACTGACCCTGATGAACCCTGGAGAGCTGCTGCCGGTTGAAGCAGACAATACCGACCTTGGGGGACCAAAAGACCTGATTCAGTACAAAGCAGCTTCACGCGTTCGTGTGATTCAGTGCTGTTAGAGGATCTCAGCTCACCGATGGGCCCAAACAGCCTTTTCTGCCCAAGACTCCAGCAACGGTACGAGGCAGCCTCATGAACGTGCTGAAAGCTGACCCACCACCCACCCCAGACGCAGGAGGCCAACTCACTCCGATGGAGACTCCCAGAAGAAGGGCTTGTTCATGGCGATCTGCTTGAGCTCGTTCAGGGTGTCGGTCAGCGTGGCGCTGAAGAGGAGGGTCTGCCTGGCGCCCGGCACGGCAGCCAGGATCACCTCCAGGTCTTGGGTGAAGTCGGTGCAGCCCTGCTCCAGCAAACGGTCAGCCTCGTCCAGGACCTGAGCCAAAGCACAGAAGGGAGGAATTTGCAGCTGAACCACCTTCCGGGGCACTTCCCTTGCAAGACTGAGGACTGCAGCCCTGACCTGGATAGCCCAGCCAAGCCCAATCTTGTCAGACCTTGGAAGCTAAGCAGGAACGAGCCTGGCAAGGAACTGGAAGGGAGGGCTCCAAGGAATACCGGGGCCGGCACGCAGAGGCAGGCAAATACCAAGCCACCTCTCTGAAACATCCAAGCCTACGACGGGTTGCCGGAAGTCAACCATGACTTCCAGGCGCGCGCACACACACACAATATTCACCCCCTCCAAAAAGAAAGAAAAAGACTGAGGACTGAGCATTGTTATCAGGCATAAGGATGGGTGCTGACCTGGATTTAGTGACCTGCAACGATACCCTACTTTTCTCCCTAATGCGGGGCCCTGTGCTATCTTGGCTGGTGGCCACTGAGACTACACATGAGAAGCTGGAAACACGGTCCGGAATCAAGGTCAGTAACAAAGCCAGAGGTCAGATAGCCAGGAAGCCAAGTCAAAATTGCAAGTTTCCAAGGACCAGGAGCGGCTGCTGCACCCTCAGAAGCAGGTCTGATTATGCAGATTTGCTGTCGCGCTGAAGCAGCTGCACGGAGTGCTTTTGAGCAGGTCTTCCCTTCCCTGGGAGTTGAGTCTGTGAAGGCTTACAGGAGCTGCACTCTGGCACTCCTTTTTCGCTCCTGCACAGTCAGCCTCTGGCGTGCCCTATGTCTGGGGCACTCAGGAGAACTCGGCGGGGAGTCTTGTCTTGGGGTGTCTGCAACTGGGGGTGCTGGGCCAGGCGCAGGATCCATCTCTCCTTCTGGCTGCACCTCTTGTGCAGCTGCTGGGGACTCTTCCTCCTCAGCTGCTGTTGAGGGTTCTTCTTCTGGGCTGACTCCAGAGGAGGCCGGGGTGCTCCCGCCCTCTTCCTCATCTGAGGAGGAGTCAGCCACAGCCACAGCCGGACCCACGACAGGCCCGAAGTAACCTGATACAACATTCTTCTCTTCTCCTCTTTATGCTCACATCAATCCTGCGAGACCAGGTGAGGCTGAGAGTGTGTGATTGGCTCAAGAGCCCAAGGAGAGCAGAGACCGGGACTTCTCCATTTAAAAAGAGAGGCGACGAAGGGGGGAAATGATAAGAGGTTTATAAAATTATGCATGGGATGGAGAGAGGTGACAAAGAGAACTTTTTCTCCATCTCCCAGAATACCAGAACTCAAGGGCATCCAATGAAGCTGATGGGCAGTAGGTTCAGGATGGATAAAAGGAAAGACCACTTTACACAGAGAGTGATTAAAATGTAGAATTCACTGCCGGAGGATGTGGTGATGGCCATAGGAATAAACAGCTTGAAAAGGGGATGAGATAGATTCATGGAGGAGAAGTCTATCAATGGCTACTAGCCATGCTGACTGAGGGGAACCTCCACATTCAGAGGCACAGAACCTCTGAATCCCAGAGCCAGGAGGCAAGGGAAGGCTTTGGCCTCTATGCCCTGTTGTTGGCTGTCCTGAGAAACTGGTTGACCACTGTGTGAGACAGGATGCTGGACTAGAGGGACCACTGGTCAGATGCAGCAGGTCTCTTCTTATGTTCTTATGAAGGCCTCGGCCTCTATGCCCTGTTGCTGGCCCTGCAGAGGAACTATTTTGGCCACTGTGTGAGACAGGATGCTGGACGAGATGGGCCACTGGTCTGATCCAGTCTGATCCAGTCCAGGATGCTTTTACGGATGGGTGTTAAGTTTTATTAATTTTATGTTCCGCTCTATTCCTTTCTCTCGTTCGTTACCTCAAGCCAAACCTGGCAAGGCAGCAGACAAAGGCTCTACATAAATAAATAGCGTGGAGAGCAAGTGCTTAGATTACTGGACCAGGGGCCCGGGAAACTCAGGTTCGAATCCCCACTCTGCTGTGGAAGCTCACTAAGTGAAACTGGGCCAGGCATTCACTCTTTCGGCCTAACCCACCTCACAGGGCTGTTGTGAAGCTAATACAGAAGAGGGCAGCCCACATTTGCTGCCCTGGGCTCCTTGTGGGACAGGAAAAGCTGGAGTCTGTCTGGGACCGCTTCCAGAGCAGCACCCCTGCTGTGGCATTCTTCTCTGAAGAAGCCAGACTGTTCAGCTCAGACCAAGTATTTAGAAACCCTATCACAATCCCCCTTCTTTTAGAACACTGGTGGACCTCCTGATGGCACTGGTATTTCTGGCCACTGTGTGACACAGAGTGTTGGACTGGATGGGCCTTTGGCCTGATCCAACATTGGCATCTCTTATGTTCTTATGTTCTTAATTTTCACCACTGGGTGGGATGGCTGTACATCAGTCTTCCCTCTAAGCTGAGTTAGTGTGAGCTAGCTCAGTTTTTTAGCCTCCGGCTCACACATTTTTGTCTCAGCTCAGGAAGGATGGCTCCAGAGCAAACTGATTTATACAGTAGCCAAATCGCTGGCTCGCAGCTTTAATGTCAGTAGTTCACAAAGTAGAACTTTTGTTCACAAGACTCCACAGCTTAGAGGGAGCATTGGTGTACACCTGCTTGCTTTTGGATATTGTGTGTGTTTCGATCTTTCTAAAATGTCTTGGCTCTTTTCTGGTAATGAATTTGGGGATGCTGGCTTGGAAAACAGCTGGTTTACATCATGCTGTTTGCTGAACCCAAGTTGGAACAGATATTTGCAGCTGTTTAGAATTAAGGAGAAAACACACACAATGAAATGATAAAGAAAACCAACAGAGGTTAGCTGCAGAGCAAAACGAGACTCTCGGACACGTGCTCTTACTGGTTACGTCGAACAAAGAAGCAGCTTTGGGGAGGGAAATCAACGCCAGTGGAATTTACGAAAGAGGGGGCGGCCTTATCTGTAAGCATGCATTGCTCGTGTTGCCCTGGGCCCTTCTTTGCTTTCCCCACGGAAAGCCAGCTTTCTAGTCTTCGTGTCTGCAAAGGGAAACTCGAGGGAAAACACCATTTCCTCATCCCCTCGCACTTCCCTTTGGCAAGCAAGCCTGTTATGAATGGGAGTGTGGGGCGGCAGTTAGAGGGTCCGACTAAGATCCGGGAGACTCAGGTTCGAAACCCCACTCTGCCGTGGAAGCTTGCTGGGTGACCTTGGGCCAGTCCCACCCTCTCAACCTGACGGGATTGTTGTTGCTGTTGTCGTTGAGGATTAAAAGGGAGAAGGGAGAAGGATGTCAAAAGCCACTTCAGATCTTCATTGGAAAGAAAAGTTGTGTGTGTGTGTGTGTGTGTATAGGAGGGGCTGCGGTGGCTCAAGTGGTTAAGACACCGAACTGCAGACCGGAATGTCGGTATTTCGGCAGTTCGACACCCGAGTGTGCCGCGTGACGGAGTGAGCTCCCGTCTCTGGTCCCAGCTCCTGCCAACCTAGCAGTTCGAAAGCAAGAAATTGCAAGTAGATAAATAGGTACCACTTCAGTGGGAAGGTAACTGCATTCCATGCGCCTCGGCGTCTAGTCACGCTGGCCACATGACCACGGAAACGTCTTTGGACAGCGCTGGCTCTTCGGCTTGGAAACAGAGATGAGCACTGCATCCCTAGAGTTGGATTCGACTGGCTTTCATGCAAGGGAAGCCTTTACCATACACACACACACACACACACACTGAATAAATATACTGAATAAATACATAAATACCCTGAATAAATAAATACCCTGCACAAATAAATACCTTGTGAACATCTAGTCCGCTACAGTCTCCTCTTACTAGCAGCTGTTCTACTGGGTCTTTTCAAGACCTTGGCCACCAAACATCCCTTCACTAGGAAAAGCTGGACTCCAGCGTATCAGCTGGAGACTGAGTCTTCTCCTTTGCATGCTGTGGATCAATGTTCCCTCTAAGCTGCGGAACCTTGTGAGCAAAAATTCCACTTTGTGAGCTCCTGGCATTAAAGTTGTGAGCGAGCAGTTTGGCGACGGCATCAGCTAGCTTGCTCTGGAGCCCTCCTTCCCGAGCTAAGGCAAAAACCTGTGAGCCGGAGGCTAAAGAACTGTGAGCTAGCTCACACTAACTCAGCTTAGAGGGAACACTGCCATGGATCCCCCCTCCCCAATTAAGGCAGCTATGCCCCACAACAGCCTTACCAAAAACTTGATCTTTTGGAGGCTGAACGTTCCGGAACTCCGGAGGTGATCGGCCAGCCGGCCAGGGGTGGCGACAACAACGTGAGGCTTCCGGGACAGCTCCAGGGCCTGGGCCACCATGTCTGCAAGGCAGGGGAGGGGGGGAGATAGGAGAGAACAGGAAAGAGGCCACATCAACAAGGGAATGAAAAAGGAAGAGATTGTGCATTTCCAAAGACTGCTCGACAGCCAATCCCAAATCCCACCCCAATGGCTGTATGCATTCTTCCTTGGAGAGGATCCATCTTCAAGCAAGACTGCCAGTTAGGTACGGGGATTACACGCCGGTTCCCGGTTGTAGCTCACCTACCCATGCCACCAACAATGATGCAATCCTTTAAGCCCAATGGCTTCCCGAGGACACGGAACTGTTCGGCTATCTGGTAAGCCAGTTCTCTATCGGGAAGGAAGGAGGGAAAAGATATTAGCACAATGATTGTTTCTTCCTTCCTCCATATGTACACCATACCACTTGGCTTCATGTTATACTCTAGGTCAGTGATGGCGAACCTTTTAGAGACCGAGTGCCCAAACTGCGACCCAAAACCCACTTATTTATCGCAAAGTGCCAACACGGCAATTGAACCTGAATACTGAGGTTTTACTTTAGAAAAAACAACTCCTACATTAACTTAAGATGATCCAAACAAAGGAAGGAAAGCAATCCCAAATGCTTTCATTTACTTAAAATTATTTGGCAGAGAATTCAACACTTTAATGATGGTCTGGGCCTGCCTGGGGCGATGGCACGCGTGCCCACAGAGAGGGCTCTGAGTGCCACCTCTGGCACCCGTGCCATAGGTTCGCTACCACTACTCTAGGTTGTCATACACACCAGTTCTGCAACAGTCACAACACTAAGATATGAGGCACAAAATCTCAGCTCCTGCCCTGCCTTTGGCAAGATTTTAGCCCTTGTGTGATAACTTTCCAATGCAATGTATATCCCACTCACATGGTTCTAAAGACACCCTCAGTGCCAGCTTATGGTTAAAAAAAGCAGACCCAAAACAGCCAACAGTAAAATCAGTGAAGAACCGTGCAGCCCCTTGAGGACTAGTAGATTCCTGGGAGGGGCAAAAGCGGAGGTTTTCGGGTACTACAATGCTCCCTATGGATTCAGCCACAAGAGACTAGCATGGTTGACAATGACTTTTTTTTAACAGATAATTTTTATTCATTTTTATAAACAGCAAAGATCTACAAGGTAAGCATGAGCATAGTTAGCTATCAATGGCTTCATACATTTTGTACAATTTGTCGGTATTATACAGTTTGAAAATTACCATAGATGCAGAGTGTTTATTACATCAGGTCCTGTTTCTTTGGTAGATAGATGTACTAGGATGGGGTACCATATACATACAATGTCATTCTGACCACCTCTAGATAGATTTTGTTTCAGAGTATCTGAGATTTTCTCCATTATATAAAGGTTCCATAACTTTTTGTACCAGAGGTTTACATTTAGCCTACTCGTGGATTTCCATGTGGCTGCTAATGTGGTTTTGGCTGCAAATAGTAATAGAGAGATTCTTTTCCTTTGTGTATTAGATAGAGCATTTTCCTCTCTGAGATTTAAAAGCAGAGCTTCTGAGGATTTGTCTATCTTGATTTTGGTTATGATTGTTATTTCTTGTATTATTTTATCCCAGAAGGATGCTTTTGTTGTTGTTGTTCAGTCGCACAGTTGAGTCCGACAATTTGTGACCCCATGGACTAGATCACGCCAGGCCTTCCAGTCTTCCGCCGTCCTCTGAAGTTTGCTCAACTTCATGTTCGTTGCATCTATGACACTGTCTAACCATCTTATCTTTTGCCGTCCACGTCTTCTTTGACCTTCAGTCTTTCCCAGCATCAGGGTCTTCTCCAGTGAGTGCTCCCTTTTCATTTGGTGGCCAAAGTATTTGAGCTTCAGTTTCATTATCTGGCTTTCCAGGGAACAGTCAGGGTTGATTTCTTTTAGGATTGACTGATTTGATCTTCTTGCGGTCCAAGGGACTCTCAAGAGTCTTCTCCAGCACCATAGTTCAAAAGAATCTATTCTTTGGCGCTCGGCCTTCCTTATAGTCCAACTCTCGCAGCCATACATGACTACTGGGAATACCATTGCTTTGACCATGCGGACTTTTGTTGGCAGGGTGATGTCTCTACTTTTTATCATGCGGCTTAGGTTCGCCATCGCTTTCCTCCCAAGGAGCAGGCGTCTTTTAATTTCATGGCTGCTGTCACAGTCTGCGGTGATCTGGGATCCCAGGAACATGAAGTCTGTCACTTCTACTGGAGGTAGAAGGATGCTACCTCCAGGCAATCGTACAACCAGTGTATGTAACTGCCTATTTTCTTACACCCCCTCCAGCAAAGTGGGCTTGAATTATTTGCAATGTATGATATTTGTTGAGGAGTTTTGTACCAGATGGATATTATTCTGAAATTTTGCCATTTTTGTGTAATGATAGGGGATTTGTTTTCGTAGGTTTAAGGACAGCTGCAAGAACAGAACAAAAAAATAAAAAACACAGGACAAAAATCAATTGGAATCTGCCAAGCACTCAAAACACCTGAAGTCAGATGTTGGAAAAAGCGGGTGAATCCTGAGAAGGCAGATGGATGCCTGAACAAGACTGATGTTGCTTGTGCACATTGGGGGGGGGGGGGACATGTTTCCATATCCTATAGAACTTCATCAGATTGAAGGAGATTGGGCACACAATAGAGACAGACCACTGGTTAAAAACATGGAAAACGCTAATATACATGAGAGCGCGACACCATACAAGAAAAAAATATATAAAATGTTTCATAGGTGGCATTGGACCCCTGAAAAAATTGCAAAATGTTTCCCGAAGGTATCAAACATCTGTTGGAGATGTAGAAAAAAATAAAATTCAGATTTTCTGGGAAATTTTTAAAATAAAATATTCTTAGAAGTTTTAAAAATCAATATGCCGCTCATCCCAGAAACATGCTTATTAAATATGATACCGGAAACAATAAAAGACCATACACATATAATTGTATATATACTGATAGCAGCTAGAATACTTATAGCAAAACGGTAGAAATCAAAAAGCATACCCTCTATAAAAGAAATTAAGTATAAGATTCTGGAAGTAGCAGAAATGGACAAATTAAATATAGTATTACAAAATAAAACAGAGGAGCTATTGAGGGATAGATGGGAAATAATTTATGCTTGGCTAAAGATGGAGAAGATAAAACAGATCTGAAAATATGCTAGTTAAAGACAGATGATGTTAAAGAAGGAAGAAGAACTTTATGTTATGTTATGTATAAGCTTTAAATGAAATTGTTTTGGTGAAAACTGAAAATAAATTTACAAAAAAAAAAGAACATCAGATCAGCATAATTGCACTGTTTTCAAGTACAACATTTATGAGAGAGAAGAGGAGAAGACTGGATTTATACCCTGCCCTTCACTACCCGAAGGAGTCTCAGAGCGGCTTACAAATCTCCTTTCCCTTCCCCTCCCCACAGACACCTTGTGAGGTAGGTGGGGCTGAGAGAGCTCTTTCAAACTGCTCCTGAGAGAACAGCTCTGAGAGAACGTGTGACTGACCCAAGGTCACACCAGCAACTGCATGTGAAGGAGCGGGGAATCAAACCTGGTTCTCCTGGATTAGGGTCCACTACACCAAACTGGCTCTGGATACAGGATTTCTGGATTCCTGGATACAGAATTTCGGTGTTGCTTTAAAACCTGAATGACTGTCTATCCCAATCCTATAGAGCTCATGTACTTCTACCCTGCTCCTGGACTTTGCAGACAACAGGCCTGCTACTTGGTTGAGAAAATAAAGGGACATAGTATAGATAATTAAACCCACAAAATGAATACTGTGCATGTAAACCATTCAATCCAATTTTGTATATTGAATAAAGTCTGACTTATTGTTTAAAAACATATACAATTGCATTTCTTCCTTAGTACCACTTATTCTTGCTTTTTAAACAGTTTTCCACAATAATTCATGTAATAGCTTTCAAAACAATGTATATATTTCAATCATGCAAAACGCGGGAAGCAAAAAACTAGACGCTTCCTTTCTAACATGCGGCAACGCTTCCGATTCTTAACAGTGTTTCAAAATGAGACAGAACAAAGTGAATCATAATAAGGAAACAATATTCCGTTTCCAATACTCAGTTACAATTCACAATGTACATAAATGTAATTGCTCCAGAGTTCCATTTCTTGTCACAAACAAGTTTACAATGTGTCACTAAAGACTACTAATGTGCCATTAAAGACCACTGATGAGATTCCTCGGTTTCTTTTTTTTTTTGAAAAAGCTTTATTCGCTCCCCTAAAAAGGGGAGATATTTCGCTAAAAGTTAGAAATAAGGAAGGGTATAAAGAGGGACAAAGAAAAGAGTGAGTGGTATTAATAATATGTTAGTCTGTTAAACTTTTTATAGTCCAATCAGAGAATCCACATTTTTATTTTTATTCCTCCTCGAAGCTTCTTCTTTTCTTCTAGTAGTGTTAACCAAAGCAATTAGTATGTTAGTATTGTCCTTCTGGTATCAGTTTGTTCTTCCAAAGTAAAGTCCAATGAAAAGAGAAAAATAGCAGTTTTTAAGCTTTAGTTTTTCCCACTTTTCCCTCTCAGGTTGTATTTTGAACCCGACGCTCCTCCTTCTTCCTCGTCCTTCACCTCTCCTTCCGAGCTACTACGCTTAACGCCGACATCCATTTGGCTAGTTCTGCACCTTCTTCTTTGCTGACATGCTTTTTCAAAAAGTCTTGAGCCTTGAAGATGGAGTCAATCTTCTCTCTTTTATCATTAAACTTAAAAACCAGTCCTTCTGGTATCAACCATTTATACGTCGTTTGATGTTTTTGTAAGAAGGTGGTCAGTCCTTTATATTCCTATCTTTTCATTGTGATTTCAAATGGAACATCCTTCAAAATTCTGATCTGTTGATCCCCGAGATTCCTCGGTTTCTTTCTCATTACGGACTGTCTTCTTCAGGGTGCATCAATATCAGTAGCACATTCAACTGGAACCAGTATTTTTCCTAGCCAATTATGTTCTGTATGGAGAAATAACAGTGTCTTTTCTCTTGATGCAGTTGGCAAAAAGGCCTGCTGCTTTGTAGGGAAAGGGCAGGAATTTAACAGGAATTTAAATATCTCCTTAAAAATAAACATTTTCAGTTCCCAAACAGAACAGCTCCAGGGGCGGCTCTTTCTCTGTCTTCTTCTGCCCACCATTGGCAAAAATGGGAAGACCCCCCTTCTTCCAACAGAGCTTCCCCCTCCTGCATTTTATTTTCATAACAGCCCTGTGAGGTAGGTTAGCCTGTGAAAGAAAGACTGGCCCAGGGTTGCCCAGCAAGGATTTGATCCTCGGAATTGCCATGTCTAGCCCAACACAGTATCTACTATCCCATGCTGGCTCTGTGGACCTCAAAGACATCGTCAGCATGTGCTGGTGTCATAAATCAAATCAAATTTATTATTATGTTCTGTGACCAGCACAAGATCAGTTACAACAATGTACATTAATCTGATATGTTTTAGGAAATACACAGTATTTAAAATTACTGAGTGGCCTATGCATTCTTAAAATCACAGAACAGATTGAATAAAACATCTGCATTTTATGATTCAGCTACATTCTGTGCTGATTCCCTGCGAATTCTGCACGATGCTGCAAGAAATCTGGCACAGGGGAGTGTGAGCTGAGGATTTGTGTCTGAAAGGAACTTCCTCGTAATTTCAGATTCAGAGCAGGCAGAAAACCTCCCAAGCAAGGGTGCAATAATCGCATGCGCTGGTGTAAAAACTGTGCCAACACCGGTACACTAGAAGCATTTCTAGGTCACACCGTGTCCAGCGTGAAGATTTCCATGCTTCTCCCATTTCAGAGAATGCACAAAAGAGAAATGTTCCGGTGGACATTTTTATAATACGATTAGAACTTTCATATAATAGAACAGGAGAGCACTGTTATAAAAGAATATGAAGGAGAAGGATTGGATTTATAGCCCACCCTTCATTACCCAGAGGAGTCTCAGAGCGGCTTACAAATTCCTTTCCCTTCCCCACCCCACAACAGACACCCTGTGAGGTAGGCGGGGCTGAGAGAGCTCTGACACAAACTGCTCTTTTTCAAGAACAGCTCTGACAGAACTATGGCTTGCCCAAGGTCATCCGGCAGGTGCAAGTGGAGGAGTGGGGAATCAAACCCGGTTCTCCCAGATTAGAGTCCGCACAGTTAACCACTACACCAAACTGTGTATTGCTTTACACTTTTTACTGTACGTATCATGTTTTTTTACTGCATTACCTTTTACCTTTAACTGACCTTGATAATGCACTTTCTCCATTAGGGGAAGATATGCCTAGGGCTGGTTTGGCCTCTTGACTATTTGTCTTACCTACGCTGTTTCCAATTCTACAACACTAGTTCAATTGCACTGTTTACTGAACAACGTTGGAGTCCAGTGGCACCTTTAAGACAAACAAAGTTTAATTCTGGGTATGAGCTTTTGTGCGCAAGCACACTTCTTCAGATCAGTGTGCGCAAGCACACTTCTTCAGACCAGTTTGGTGTAGTGGTTAAGTGTGCGGACTCTAATTTGGGAGAACCGGGTTGGATTCCCCACTCCTCCACTTGCACCTGGCTGGATGACCTTGGGCAAGCCGTAGCTCTGATAAGAGCTGTTCTTGAAAAAGAGCAGTTTCTGTCAGAGCTCTCTCAGCCCCACCTACCTCACAGGGTGTCTGTTGTGGGGAGGGGAAGGGAAAGGAGTTTGTAAGCCGCTCTGAGACACCTTTGGTTAGTGAAGGGCGGGGTAGAAATCCAATCTCTTCTTCTTCTTCTTCATCTGAAGAAGTGTGCCTGCATACGAAAGCGGATACCCAGAATTAAACTTGGTTGGTCTTAAAGGTGCCACTGGACTCAACGTTTGTTCTGCTGCTTCAGACCAACACAGCTACCCACCTGAATCCACACTGTTTATTGTACATTATATGCTGTCTCACTGAATTGTTCTTCATATTTTGTAATCGGCTTTAAATCTCAGTGAGAAAGGTGGGCTATAAAACAAACAAACAAACAACTCATAGATCCAGGGGATTGATCAGAGCAGTCTTGTCCCCAGGGCTAACTCTAGGGCTGATCCACGAAGGGTCCAGTTCATTCTCACCTAGTTGGTGTCAGAACCAAGCAAAAAATGCCATAGGGATCTTCTGAAAGTTTCTGCAAGATCGGCAGCACAAATGCAGCTGTCTTCCCACTCCCCGTCTTCGCACATCCCATACAGTCATGACCTGGAAGATCAAGAAAAGGATTTAGGGATGGGAATAGGAGAGGGGAAAAAAGGAGCTTCACTCTGCACACGCTCAAAGGCACTCTCCAGTCACACAACCAGGTCGAAGGGGGTGGAGTTTTGGAAGAGGAGCTTCAAGTGCAATCCAAAGGCAGCGGACCTAAAAGTAGAGTTGCCAACCTCCAGGTGCGGCCCAGAGATCTCCTGGAATTACAGCCAATTTCGATTACAGAGCTCAGCTTCCCTGTGGAAAATGGATGCTTGGGAGGGAGGGTGGATTCTGTGGCATTACCCCTTGCTTTTTAAAAACATATATCTTGTTAGATTTTCCCAGTCTTACGTAAACAGGCAAAATTATATCCAAGGAACCAAATACAGAAATGTATTAAGAGAGTTATACAACAGCACCACTGAGACTAATAGAGTTATTTTCACAGAAAGATCTCATTTGTCATGATCATCAGAGGATCACCATGTGTCGGATAGCCAAGGGTATTATTTAGAAGAGCACCCACTCTTTGTAGAGTGGATTTGAGGGTGCAATATCATTATCAGCCAGTAAGTGCAGTAGAGGGAACCAAATTTGCATGAATTTGGTGTGTCATCTGGATGGGCAATACTGTCAACTTTTACCCAGGACAAATTGATCCCAGATCTTTTCAAACCATGCAGCAAGGGTAGGTGATTCATGTGATTGTACTACATCTTGCTGAGCTCCCTCTCCCCAAACCCAGCTCTCCTCTGGTTCAAACCCCAAATCTCTAGAAACTCTCCAACCTGGAGTTGGTAACCCTAAGGGGAGCAGAGCATCAGGGGGTGTGGCTTAGCTAAAGGATGTGGTCTGAGATACCATGAAGGGGCGTGACTTAGGTCCTTTCTGCATTTGCCTGCCACTCCGGATTTTCTCAGTGTTCGAGTCAAGGCAATTTAAACACATGGCAAAACAGCATCCAAATAACCCGGGGCAACAGCAGGCTGAAACCAGCCTGGCCACTGAAGAGAGGTAATGTAATGCAGAATGGGGGGGGG